CGTTCGAATTATTGAGGACCGCTACCGTTTGGGAAATCCAGATTTAGGGGGGTTGCTCCAAAACGTTGTTGTGTTTGCAGTCCGAAAAGAACTGGAGTCTCAACAGCTTGCTTTGCATGGAGAGTGGATTTGGAGCAACCCCTGTTTTGCCAATCTGGTGTCTTTTCATGGCGCAGAGCCAGGTGCAGGGCGGGAAGAGCTGTGGATCTCATCTGGACCAGTATTGGCGCCAGGGGTTTGAGTTTATGGAGGAAAGAGCTGTTGAGTATAGCAGCTGCACAGGAAAGTGTTTTGCTGATTCTTGAGGCATGTGTTCCACGCCGAAGATCTCCTTCTCGAAATCCCCTGGTTCTGTAGGACATAACAAGAATTGTCGGAGCACGGCAGCATGGGTGAGTGCAGAACTGCTCGGATCAGATGCTTCTTCTGCTACATTTTCCGGGCTGCCGAGAGTGTCTTTGATATCTTGTGCATCATCATCTTCAACGGCGATGGCAGGAGCAGCAGCGGTGTCAAAATCCGCATTCATCCACGGATGGGAGATGTACACCCTGAATCATAGACCTTACGCAACTTACGCCCTAATTCCTTTACCCCAAACCCTCAACCCTGGCAGCAAAACGCGACGACGCCGCCGGCAACTGGGATTGCGCACTACACCAGACGCCAAACCAAAGCCTTGAACTCGGTACAGAATAGTATAGGGGGCCTAAATAATTACCTCGATTATTTTGGGGGTTCCTTATTTTACTTGTAGTATAATAGGCCCCAAAGCCCTGTTTCAATTGTTAAGGCCCCCCTACATTACCTTGCAGGAGCCCAGAAAGGAACCCTGAAAGGAACCTTTAGAGGAGCCCTCTGTTCGGGCGAAGTAGTAGCTTGTGTCATCCCGACCTCGTGATTTCAAGGCGACGGCCGAAGCACGGAACTGAAGTTAGGTCCTAGCGGCTCCGGGTGCATGTGACGTAATATAGGGGCCTTCATAGTTACCTGCACTTTTTTTTTTTTTTTTTTGGGAGGGGGG